AGCAACTGCCTTCCCTTTCGACTTAGGTCCTGGTTCCCTGATGGAGTCGATTCACCTTGTCTTTGGTCCCTCTGGGATGCAGAATCCCTGAGAGCAACTCCCTTGGTGAAGGTTGATGGCTTTTGGTACTTGATGGTAAAGTCATCTTCATCATCATCGTCGTAATCGTCATCTAGATCACTTCTGGTGTCTTGAATGGTAGCTTCATCATCATCTTCATTATCTTTATCTTCATCATCATCATCACCAGCAGCAGTGATGGCAGGGGCATCACCCCTAGGGATGGCATCGACATCCTCAGCTGGAGCAGCTTTGGTGGTCGGGATTACAAGAGCAGCAACTGCTTCAGCTCTAAGAGCCTCAGCTTCAACTGCAACTGAAGCTGATACTGGACCAACAGCCTGAGAAGGGGTAAGCACAGCATCAGATGATTCACCAGTGTTGGACCTCATCTCCCCCTCTCTGGCAAAGACTTGAGAGAATTGTCTAGAGAGTTCGTCCAAACGCTGACGCTGGAGAACCATTATAGCCTCTAGCCTTTGCAAAGCACTGGCTAGAGTTGTCATTGCCTCACGTGTCTCATGGAGCTGGGTGCGATCACTGGCAGAGAAAGAAGGTGGGATTACTGGAGCTGGTTGACAGACAGCATCCAGGATTTGTTGAAGAAGGCCAGTCTGCTGATCAACGATAGCCTGAGTAACGTCAGCCCTACTGTCAAGAACAGCAATGGCATCGGTGTTGGCTTGAACAGCTTCTTGGAGAGTCTGAAGATGACTCTAAACTTCTTGAACGTCCACCTGGATGGAAAGGAAGTTCGCATCGAGATCACCCTAGCGGGACATCTCTTGGTGAACTTCGTTGATCCTGCAGAGGACGGTATCAACGGCTGGAAGGAGAAGTTGATGTCTGATGACATATCATAGGCATCAGCGATCTCTTCATCTCCTCCATCATCTTTCTCTCTTTCTTCCTCTTCCACTTCCTGAGCATCAGACTGATGCATCGAAGAAGGACCTGCAAAAGAAGAAGTGTGAGCTGAAGGCTCAAGGTTAGAAGAAAAGAAAGGGTAGGAAGATGGAATACCTGAGGGGCCATCAGTGACTGTTGGGTTCAAGTATGTGGGAAAAAGATTGTATTCAAGTTCTCCATTTTTATATGGTTTGTAATAGTTAGGTTAATGCTTTCCTAGTATAAATAGTCTTTAGCTTTGTAATTGTCATTAATCAATTTTGTAACCTCTGATTAAGTGTTGTAATTCTCTCTCAAGCAATTACAAAACATTTGGTGATAATATTTTCTCTACTCTTCATCTTGTTCATATATTCTTGAAGATCATAATCAGAATTGTATAATTTTTGGGCATTTCAATTGGTATCAGAGCAAGCTGCAGCAATTTGATTAGAGGATTAAACAATTAAACAAGATTTTGCACGAATTTTAGTGGATTAATCGATCTATGTTCATCGTGTTCTTTGTCTGTTCATAGGGTTCTTCATTCCAGAATTGAGTTTTGGCTTAAATCGCTTGTTTGTTGATTGTTAATTGATAAATCTTACATCACTGAATTCGCAATCTGATTTAGAACAAATTTGATTCACATCGTTTTTGTTTTTAAACAAGTTTTGAATCTGTTTTGATCGATTTTTGAGTTTTTCGAAATCTGTTGGTGTTCTTCAAAATTCAAATTTTTCATGTTTTGATCCAATTTTTTGGTGAAAAGGTGTTAAAATTGTGTTTTTGCTTGAATATTAGTCCGGTTAACTCTTGACCAATTTAGATGTATATCGCTTAAAAGCTTGTTCGATTTAGACTTGTAATATTTGTGGATTGATTTTGATCGGATTAGGTTAAACCGGGTAAGTCTTGATCGGATTAAAAGGTAAATCGTTTGACTCTTGATCGATTTAGTAAGCGATTTAGGATAATCCGCTTGGTAAGTCGTTTGTGTATTGTGCGATTTATTTGAAGTCCGGTTGTAACCTGAGCGATTTAGTGAGCGATTTAAGTGTAAGGTTGTGCGATTTACTCTGCGATTTATATTGAATTGTTGAATGTGTTGAGTGATCGTACTTTGACTGTTTGACCGTATTTTGACTTTGACTCCTTGAACGGATTCGTGAATGGACTTTGATTTTCACTTGTGATCGATTTAAAACTTTGACTTTTTGAGTGATTTGATTTTAAGCGGACTTGTTCGTACTTTGACTAGTTGACTTAGTTGACATTGACTTGTTGACTTGTTGATTTTTATGTTCGTATTTCATTTTGAAAATTTGGCTAAGTGTTGAAAACGTCCGATTTGAGATTTTTCATCCAAATTGAATTTTGCGCTTTGTCCGTATTGAGTTTCGCTTTGTCCGAATTGAAATTCCTTAATTGCTTAAATTTTGACTAAGTATTGAAACTCGCCGGATTTCTTTTCCAGATTACGTGATATTTTGTGCGATTTAAAGTTTATTGTTGTCCGGACTTCTAATCCAGATAACTTGATTTAGTTGAAAATTTCAAGTCTTCTTTGTCCGGACTTCTAATCCGGATAAGTTTGACCGGATTTCTAATCCGGATAAGCTTTGTATGATATATTTTTGAATACTCATCCTTTAATACAAACTTTGAACTGCAGTTGATCCTACATCATACTAACTGATAAAATGAGTTCAAGGGAAGCAATGGCTATTAGTACTGACACCAAGCCACCAGTGCTGTTTAGAGGAGACTACAACCAATACAGGGATAGATTCCTCAATATTATAGAGAGAATGAAAGAAGGTGATATGATAATAGAGTCCATGATGGAAGGTCCTGCTGTGTTCTACCGAGAGACACCTGCCATTCCTGAACAAGGCAGACCTGCTTAGAGAATAATCAAAGAAAAAGATAGATATACTGCTCAAGAAAAAGAGAGAGCCCATACTGATGTGCTTTGCAAGTCCTACATGATGCAAGCACTGACCAATGACATCTACACCAGTATTGACAGCCATAAATCATCTGGTCACAGCATGTGTTCAGATTGAAAAGATGATGATGGGCTCTAGAGTGGGAACTCAATTAAAGATTACTAATTGCATATCTGCGTATGAAGAGTTCAAGGCTAAAGATGGTGAGAGCCTTGATGATGTCTATAATAGGCTTACCAGACTGCTAAATGAGCTGACCAAGAACGGAATCTCTAAAACTGTTATAAAGATAAATGTTAAATTCCTCAACAATCTTAAACCAGAGTGGAAACCATTTGCTAATCATATCAGATTCAACAAATTGTTATCTGATATTGACATACATGAAATCTATGAAACTCTAAAGTAGAATGAGGAAGATGTTTTGGACATCCGAAATTCGAAGAAGAAGAAAGAGAAGGAAGTTGCTGATCCTTTAACTTTCATGTCTGAGAAGAAAGCAAAGAGCAGATCTAGGAAGCAAGTGAAGGAAGGAAGTCAATCAAGCGAATCTGAAGATGAAGAAAGTAACAGCTCAGATTCAGACTCTGAAATGTCTAAGTTAAAACATGCCATGGCGATGCTGACTAAAGCATTCCAAAAGAAATTCCAGAAACGGCCATACTCGAACAATCAAAGATTCTCATCCGGCTCGAAATATGAATTTAAAGACAAATTCGGCGAGAAGAAGAAATATGAAGAAAAGAGGTTTGAGAAAAAGCACAAGAAGAAGCCGAAAGAGAAGAAGAAGTTTGTTAAAGGTGTAGCTGACGAGCACACGAAATGCTACAACTGTGGCAAGCTAGGCCACTTTGCTGTAAATTGTAGAAAGCCGGTAACTCGAAATACCGACTACTAGAAAAACAAATTTCTTCTCTCCAAACAAAGAGATGTAGGGAAAGCACTCATGGCTCAAGATAATCACTGGCTAAACCTGACAGATGAAGAGAAAGAAGCTGAAGCTGTTGCACATGTTTGCTTGATGGCTAAATCTGATAACTGTTCTTCAGATGAAGGAGAAGAACAGAGTGCGGAAATGGAAGAAGAGGTATTAGAGCATTCATGCATAAAAGCATAAGATGATGCTTAAACTCCAATCTTTCCCGCAAGAATTAAAAACAGAAAAAATGCGTTCAAATAATTTTGAAAAAGAGTTAAAAACGTAAAAAGAAAAATGCATCAAATTATTTGATGAAAATGCTGGAAATTTGGACTGGGCTAAATCTTTGTTATCTGAATCCAAATCATTTGATGAAAAGTCCAATATCTTAAAAACCAAATTATCTGATTTCAAGGAATAATATAAATCATTAGAATTGTTTAATGAAGAACAAATGGTTAAAATAAGTAAGCTTGAGCTACAAATAATTCATTTAAATGAAAAACTGAAGTCTAAAGAAGAAGTTTTGTATAAAAGAGGACAAACTGATCAAACCATTTTTCTAAACAAACCAACTGAAACAAGATCTTTTAACCTCGGGAAGGGTTGGGGTATGAAAATCCAATTTTTTTAGGAAAAGCTTTATATTATGCCCCAACTTTATACAAATTTGAATATCTTGATTGTGGTCCCGAGTTTTCAATAAAATTTACAAAATCTTTTGATGAAGTAGAACAACGAGAAGACTTCAATCGACAAAGCAAAGACAAAATGCAGGTTCCGTTTGATTATACAAACCTAAATGAAAGTTATAAAAATCAAGGGGTTGTTTGGCAGTTGCTGAATGGTTTAGTGCAGAATGATTAAGTGGTCAGGATGATTAAGAGACTCTGTATGATTTAGTGTAAGATAGAAAAAGGTTGTTTGGAAACTGTTCTGAATGAACAGTCTGAATGGCATAAAATTACCATTTTACCCCCAGTCTTATGTTTAATGAAAATTACCGTTTGACAACAGTTCTGAAGGAAATTTCCAAATGAAAAATAGAAAATAATTAATGGTCCAAGCCAATACATAATATTATATCAATTCAAACAAGCATGACAATGTTTGTTCAAGTTTTGGCATAACAAAACATCACATGAAATACAACTTCAAACCCAATATTTTGATTACAACATCTAATTTGAAGCATTTAACACCAGTTGATTTGCAATCTCATTATGCAAATTAGTCATGTACTCACTGTCTTGGGGCCCCCAAGGTGTTGCATTTATCTCTTCTTCCTCGCCTCCATCAATTTGTTCTTGTGCTTCAGTAATGCCCATGGGATTATTGTCGTAATCCATGAATAATTGATCTTGCATGTTGCATCTTCTTATAAAGTTGTGGATCGYRAARCAAGCAATTACAATGTTTCTTTGTATGCGAAAAGGATAAGGGGCCATTTGCTTCAAAATTGGGAATCTTGCTTTCAATACACCCAAAGCACATTCGATAACATTTCTGAGTTGTGCGTGGGCATGATTGAATCTTTCTTCTTTGGTCAAGGCACATCGACGTCGAAAATCAGCTAGCCAATATCTTGTATTGCGATATGGAGTCAAAAATCCACGCGTGTTGGCATATGCAGCATCACAAAGATAATATTTTTCTACATTTAACATGTAAGAAAATTTTATTGTTAAGTAAAATGTATAAGAAATAAATTATATTCAATATTAAGTAAAAATTCTAAATACCTGGTGTAGGAAATGGAAAACCAGAAGTTAGGTTCAATGCAACTTCTCTTAAAACTCTAGCATCATATGCTATGCCCTCCCATCCAGCCCAAACATAAGTGAATACCATATTAAAATCACAAATCGCTAAAACGTTTTGATAACATTCACCTCTTCATCTTCCCCTATAACGAGCTTGTTGATCGACAGGCACAACTGCATGTATGAGAGTCCCATCTAACGCACCTATCGCAAAGTATAAACTATAAGAAACTTTTTTTAACTACGTTTTGATTTTGCAAATTATATAAACGAAAACATACCGGAAATATTCTTCTAAGATTTCTTTGTCGATCTGACATATTGGAGGTTTCTTCATTGGGCATTGGTCCTACAACTTCTCTAGCCAATTCCATCATTGCTCGTAGTACTTGACGGAAATATTTATGGATAGTTTATTTTGAGTGTTGAAATCTTCTTTTAATCATTCTATAATGTTCATTGTAACCTATAATTGTTAAAAAAATTTGCCATCTTCTCCTCAACAATTGCATTCCTACTATTTTGCATCCAATTCTTTTGTTTAAAATGGTTGCATAGTAGTATATAAGCATCACGAGAAAGGCGCATCAACTCAAGACATTGTGTATTTGAGCCATTTAATAGTTCTAGAGTATACGCATGGCCGGACAACAATGAAGTGTTATCTYTTATCCTTTTGATTCTTGATGTAGCTTTTCGTTTCAAATACAACCAAAAAAGTAACAAAAGCAACAATTCTTCCTCAACATCCATAGAGAACCTTGCAAATAARAATAATTACAAAACATGACTGAAAGGTTAACTTGCACGCTCAAAGATAAATCTTCATTCAAAAGTTAACATCATTCAAAAGTTACAACATTCAAAAGTTATGTCATACAAAAGTCATGTGTTCAAAAGCAAAACATCATTCAAAAGGTAGCATTATATCAAAAGACAATATGTCCAAAAGCCTAATATGTTCCAACTACACGATCCCGTATTTTTGTCCAATCATTCTAACCCAACCCTCACAACCTTCCGGCTTTAAACACAACCATACTTTCCTATAATCGCACTCTCACTGAAGATAAAAGTAGCTACATCATACAACGGGTGATCTGTTCCCCATCCAAGTTCATCCAACTTTGCCAAGCAAGCAGGCACATCGTTCGTATATTTTTCCATAATTGCTTTCACAGCCTTAGAGATATCTTCTTCAACTTGTGAATTACTTGATTGTTTACCTTTTCGCTTTTTACTTGCTTGTGTACTTGGACGAGAATCACACTCTTGTCCTAAAGTTGGGGTCRGGATTTGTTGAGTATTAGGAACTACCTCAATATCTTCACTCGAGTGATCAGAAAGTGGGTCGGAAATGTCAGGAATACTAGAATGTGGCCCATGACTTTCAATTCCCGTTACTTGAACTCCATCAAATAGTTGAATACAAAGATCGGRGAAAAGCARTCMTGTACTCYTGATTGGTTCTACATATTTGCTTCTCTGTTTTAGAAATATATAAAAATAAATTATAAATATACCAAATAAAAAAGAATATAGAATTGTAAAAATATAAAATTATGAAAATACCTCAATTTCTATTTGCCATTCTTCATCAGTTAAATTAAACGTGTTGGTTGTTGGGTCATACACGTTTCCTATTTTGTTTTTCAGCCTCGTCCATGCATTGTATTTGGCTTTCAAATAATCATAATGGTTTTTCATTTGTTTTTGTTCTACGACAAAGTTATGTTTGTTTTTAAGCGTCTCCGCAACATTCTTCCATGAACGCGRCTTAAGATTGGTGCCTTCTCGTCCATGTACAACGACCTCTTGTATACATGCTTCAAGAAATGTTCGCACCACACTCTCTTTTTTCCAGTTTATTCTACGTCTCTTTGGTTGTGAACTCTCATTGACAGTGTCCATACCTTACAAATGATGACATATAACAAATCAAGATTGAAATCCTAACAAAGGACCACATATAAAAGATCTCTTATAATATGCAATGCAGTGTAGTTTGAATTGCGGTTTGATGATTTAAAACCGCAAACCGTATCCTGATATTTAGAATACTACAGTTTGCAACAATGAACAGTTCCGACAGATTTTGTAATTATAAATGTAAGGAAAAAAATAACATTACTCTCAATGTCGCAGAAAAAGAAGTCTGCTTAAAAATCTAAAACAAAATTAAAGACGAAGTTAATGTACGTGATCCAATACATATGAATAATATGACCATGCAGCACCAAAAGTTCTAAATTGGCAGCCTGGTTGGAAGATGAGGTTTACACCAAGAGGGATTTGTGAGGAGAGGTTGAGGTGGGCCAAGACTGACAAAAAGATAAGCAATTGAGGGTGATTTGCATGAGTGGGGTGGATCTTAGATAGGAGTGCATGGACCATTAGGTATTTCACCAAAAGAAGATATAAAATGCCATTCCTGCCACTGAACCATTAGGTGTTTCACCTTTTTGTGCTGGCTCTAGGGTTTACATTTTATATCTTCTTTTGGTTTTTATTTTTAGCCTATCCAACTAGTTTTTATTTTTATTTGTGTTGGCTCTTGGGTTTACATTTTAAAGGTGTTTTAGGCAAAATGTGAAGTTTTATTTGTCTAGAATTTTGAGTGGGTATTTTGTTTTAGCTTAGATATGTCTCTAACTAATAGGACCAGTAGTCACTTCTGATTCAATTTTCATATACATCAAATTAGCAAGTCATTGATCCGAAGTAATTATGTTTGGCCATGAAAGTCAAGTAGTACTTTCTCCGTTCCCGAAACAACCTAGATTACGACTTACAAGGAAGGAAACGCAGCCATAAACAGCGAGAATGGTGTATTGGGAGAGGATGATTGGTACATAATCTGGTAGAATGAGATCTTTAGGAATGAAAGGATGAATCGATTATGATGCCTAAATTCCGGCCATCTTTCCACAGCAGGAACTGAGAACACCTCCTCAGCAGAAAGTCAACTTCGGAAGGTCTCCGATTCAGACAGCTAGTTTGTGTGTGACCCCCCTGGTTATGTGCAGATTTAATGGTACCTTTAGTTCGTCCATGAGGCTAAGTATCTCATTGACATGGTGTTAAATCAACTAGCATATAGGAAGGGAACAGGTAGCAATCAACAGTTTCATGCATCCAAATACTTATCTCTATGTTTCTTCTTTCACCATAGCCAACTAGTTAGTGTTTTGACATAGTATCTCAATTATTTTTGCCTTAGAATTTTGAGTACTTATTCATGCCATCTATTAATTTAGAAGTCATGTTAGAAACCATATTCCATCTTATTTCACCAAAGATTATAAGATTGTGCAGTGTCAGCAGAGAGCATGTTTGTCTAAGCATGGGCAATTGAATAACACCACAATATATAAGTAGATGACCACTAAAAACAAGAAAAGCAAACACCACATGTAGGCCAAACCACAATATGGACATACACGACGAAATAAATAAAAGATGCACAGATGACACCAAAGCAAAACATAAAACAAACAAGAGGCCGATAAGCAAAACAAGATGACACCAAAGCAAAACTGACCATTGTGATATCAAATAAGAAAAATATTACATTGATACAGAAGGGGAAAATAGCAAATTGCTCAGATTCTATTTTTCTTATCTTTGGTGTTTTCTAGGATTTATGATTTAGAAGAAGGGTTGAGACAGATAAGCAACAATGTAGGGAGCGAAGTTATGGAATTGAGAGGTTACCAGTGAATCGATGGTGACTGAAGAAGGCGAGAATGGTGACTGATGAAGAAGAAGAGAATGGTGAACGACGGCCGATTGATAGAACAGAGGGTTGCTGGCGGTTCCTACAGCCGACCGAGAAGAAGAGAGCGTCGCTTGGAGAAATCAAGAGAGCTAGGAACGATGATTAGAGAAAAGGGAGGGCAAACATGGAAAAATATCAAGTCTGAATCGTATGGAGCGCGTACGGGAGAAGGAGCGATTCAGATGTAAAGTTTTCATTCAGACTCTTTTTAAAACCTATCCAAACAAGAAAATGTCTGACTGAATCAGACCCTTACCTCTTAATGGTATTATTAAGAAGTAAACAAACAGCCCCCAAGACTCTGCACTTTCAACAGATTATTTTCACAGTTATTCCAAAGCAGAGCTTGAATCAAAACCTGTTGAACCAAAGTTTTATACTCCTACAATAATTTTAGAAAAACAAGTGGTTCAGCTGGAAAAGATTTTACTGAAGAACGACTTTCATTTAATAAACAAAAACAAGAATTTTTAAATAAAATTGAAGATTTACAAAATTCTAAAGCAAAAACGGAACATGTTGAGTCTGAATATTTTTCGTGCGATAAATCTTTAAGTGAAGCTTCTGATTCAGAAGAAATAAATAATTTTAATGAACAAATTAAAATTTCAAATATCTTGAATTCAGATGTTTGTTTAGATAATGAAATTGATCAATTTGATTTTTCAAAGAAATTACCCAGTCATGAAGATTTTCTTGTTAAAAATAATATGACTGGGGATTCTGAATGAGCTTCAGATTTTGAAAAGAATTTTAATGAAAAACCTGTTTTCGAGGATGTACATTATAAAAAGAATAAAACCAAAAAGAATTCAAGGAAACAGAAGAAGCTTACAAAGAAAAATAAACAAAAAGTTCATCATTCTCTTAAATTTGATGATTTTATTTTTTCTGTTTCAGATAAGACATTGAAGTTTAAGAAGGTTTAGAGAGTAAAAAAACAAGACAAATCTTCAACTCGACTGAAGAAGAATAATTTCACTAAATCTGCATTAAATGATTCGATATTGAATAATTCTGTAAAAAGATATTCAGTTGATGAATTGTTTGATATTAGAAATGGTAAAAATAATTGTTCTCCGTGTGGAGTGAATGAGTTACTTAAATCTTTTACTTTCTTTAAGCCTTATCATTTCATGCATTCTGCGTTTTCTGCTTTATCTAAGAAATTGCATTTTAAAGAACGTTGGTTCGGTACTTACAGTATACCACCAACGAAAACTGCGCTTAAAGGTCCAAAACTAAAATGGGTACCAAAACCCAATTGATTCACTTTTGCAGGTTAACCGGCATGTGTGGTTCTTAGACTC